ATGCATTATAATGCATTATAGCACTAGGCTTTTTACATGGATGCTAGGAATCCACACTCAGGTCCTCATGCTTTAGCAAGTGCTTAGTAATATATATATATTTTAAATCTTAAATGATGTAGAAATGGCATAGGACCTTGTTAAGTCCAACGGCTCAGACATTGGAAAGTATTCCTGAGAAATGGACCATAACTTGCTACTTGACAGAGGAGTTCATTCCACTATCTGACAGCTCCACTTGCCGTCCTCATTCCAGAAGAAAGGGGCTGCCGTTTGTGTTTATCCAGTGGCTAGGCTTCCTTCTTGTGCTCTGAGACCCGTCCAGGCGGGGTGCCTGGGCTGGTTACCTCAGGAAGTAGATACAACGCTTCCTCATCATACCCTGCTCCCAGTCCTGAGAGAGCTACTTGGGGATGCCTGAGACCCGTGGGGCTCAGTGAGAATTCACCCTGAGAGCTGGAGTCAGTGCTGAGTTGCCCAGAGGATGACCCCAGAGGCTGCCACTTGGGTCCCTCAATTCAGGGCTTACACTGGGCTTCTTGGAAATGTGTCAATATATCCCTCTATCTCCAGAAACACATGGCAGTTGTTTTGTTTGCTTCAGCCAGTTTGCATCGGATTTCTTTTACCCGCAACTAAGATTATCCTGGCTAAACGAGAGGATGACGGCAAAGTGAACCCGATAAACATTTATGGAACAATTAAGCTCTAGGATGGAGCCTGGAGTTAAACTACGGTCCCCGCATTCAAGGGTTATAAGCTTGTGGGAGAGGTTATCATAACACACACTCACACACACACACACGCACACATGCACACACACACACGCACACACACACGCACACATGCACACATATATACAGGGCACACTTATCAAGTCTCTGAGGCAGACGGGGCACTGCAGGAGAAAGGGAGGGGTCTATCAAGCTGGGAACCCAGGGACTGCAGCATGCAAGAGGTGACATGTTAATGTGGCATTGCAGAAAAGATGGACTTGGCCTGTTGCTCTGGTAGGGAGCAGTATTCCAAGAGGAAGGAACCGTGTGAGGAAGGGCCTGGTACTGACAAAATCAAGTGAGCTGTTAATTTTCTTCTTTCCAGGAAGATTGCTAAAAGCTACACAAGCGTTCAGTGTTTGAATGCCAAATCTGTCCTGCTGGTAAGCAGGGAAGAGTACAAGGCTTGCTCATCTGTCCCTGGGCAGTGCTGAGACACACCAGACAGCTAGGGTACAGTGAAAAGGGGCAAGAGCCACAGAAGGCTGTCCCGGTGAGACAGTTTGAGAGCTGGGCTCTGCGAGTCAACACTCCCACCACAGGCCTGCAGCAAATACTCCTCATCTTCTCTGGGAGCTGATCCCGGGGGAGTCACGTGGTTTACAGGAGCCTTGCAGCTCAGACAATGGCAGAGTTGGAACTCAACCCCAGGAGTCTGTCGGCAGCTTTTACTCTTTCTGCTCAGTCGTGAACAGACAAGGATATGGTCCCAAAGGTGCATCCAGGAGCCTCAGAATCTGCAGCATGTGACCCTTCCTCACTGAGAAAGCCTCGGGCTCATTTCTCACTTCCTCTTAGCTTCACAGTCTAGGATTTGAATGGAATGATGTCTACAGATGCGGATGTCCTAGTGGGGGACAGAAGACAGAACTCTGGGTTGTGACCACTGTTACTGGCCGTGTATCCTTCGACAAATCAGCTAAGCCCTAAGAGCCTCTGCTTACTCGGCTCCCAAGGGCAGAGATGATATTCTCTACCTTACGGGGCTGAGGTGAGGACGTGAAAGATAAGCGCAGCACTAAACATGGCACGGGGGATCCAAGAGAGAATGTTCTAGTTACTACTGCGGGCAAGAACCAGGGAGAGAGCAGACACTCTCAGACTCCTAGCGGCCGCCGCTTTCACAGAGCAGGAAGCTTGGTGTCCTCTAAGTTAGTTTGTTCTTTGTTTCTTTTTTCTTTTTAACCCCACTGGTGGTTCATGGTTGGTAGATATTTCCCTAACATCCCTCATTTCTCTCAGGGGAATGAATCGGGAAAGATGAACTTAAGATAAAGGTAAATCATCTTGTGCTCGACATGACTTTCCCTGGGAATCAGTTTTCCCCGGCAGAGGGACAGGTCTAATGAAGAGGGCAGAAGGCCTTAGGCTTAAAATGAAGCCTATAGCGATGACTCCAGGTCTCTGGAGGGTGGATGAGCTACTACACTAGCTGCTGGTACTGGGGTTGTGCCCTTGGGATGGTCACATATTGCTTTGCCCAGACCTTGGTCTTTTTGATGAGAAGTGCAATACAGGAGGTGAAGGCGAAGTTGAACATTGGCGAAGGTGAGAAGTTCACAGCAATTGCCATGGCAATGACCTTAAGAGCTCAGAGGAAGTTCCCATGGAAACCAGCCTCCAGATGCAGCAGGGCCCATCCAGGTCTCTGCTTCATTGACAGTTTCCAAAGTGAGAGACATCAAGGGAAGAAGAAAGGGAGATGTGGACGGCATTTCCCAGCCCAGTCTCTACCTTCACAAGTCACCTTGAAAGCCATTCTCCTTTAGAATACCTTCTTTGTGCCATCTTTTCCTCTTTGGGCCAGATACATACTTCACGGCCATCATGACTCTTCCTCCTGCCCTGATGTGAGGCTGCGAGATTCACAATCCTCTAAAGTGACCAATTCCATCTGACCACCACCTGAGTACCAACCCGAGGCCCAGCATGAGTTTCAGCTCAAAGATGCAGCTGGCATTTTCAGGTTCTCTGAAGGAAACCTCCATGGTCCCTTTCTTGCACTGTACAGGAACTGACTTTTGTTATTTTGCTGTTTTCTCTAAGACGAGTTCTCTAGCCCAGGCTGGCCTCAAACTCATCCAGGAAGGGGCCGGACTTCGGATCTTTATGCGCCCACTTCTGGAAGGCTCGCGTTACAGATGTGTACCATCATGCCCAGGGTATGGAGTGCTGTGCACTGAACGCAGGGCCTCGTGCATGCTAGACAGGGACTCTGCCAACTGAGCCACGGTCTCTGCCCTTCTATTGCCCTTGCTGCTCTACTTGAGAGCTGCCATCATCTCCTGGTGCTGACTGAAGCAGCCCACACTCTTGTCTTGTCATCCGTGACTCAAAATTTTCTCTGTGCAATCCCACCCAGAGAGGTCAACCCAGGGTTTTCCTGACCTCCCCCTATTTGCCGCTCCTACCATCCTGCCATTTATACCTAGGAACTCCCAGGCTGCCCAGCTCTCTGTCTCTACGTCAATATGACTGTTTCCCAAGTTCTTCACACCCAGAAATCCCCACAGTCTCTTCTGAGGACCATGTTATTTAGACTCCTGGATCCTCTGTCTTGAACTGCCCTTTACCATTGTCTCTTTGACCCTAGGCCATGTGCAAGGTCTGGGAGCCTTGGCTTCTCACGACTCCGCAGACACAGAAAACACCACTAGCCATTCAGTGCCTGCTCAAGACAGCTTCAATTTATCGATGCTTTTTTGCAGTAGCTGCTCAGGAGTTGGCTTTAAGTGTGGTGGACCACACAGGTGGCTCGGGCCTGCCCTGAGCACACACGTGAACAGAATCTGAGGCAGAGGGAGTCACAAAGGAGCAGAGACGAGGTTCTAGAATGGGAAGCCGGGGCAGTTTGAAGGCAAGCCTCACCTGTTCTGAGGGGGACAGAAAGAGGACTTGGAAAAATGTTCTGGAAGGGGCGTCAGAGGTGGAGGATGGCAGAGGAGGCTCCAGAGAACAAAGCATGAGGGGATACTGGATGACCAGAAGTTGTAGAAGAGATTACAGGAAAGAGCAAGCTTGGATCCGGGTACAGCTAGGCTCGGTGGGAACCACATGTGACTCTTAGTAGATTAGTATGAGCTTTGTTATCTGCTTTGAGAGAGCCGACCCTGGAGCTATTTACGCTGTATGTAGCCTGTGCTGGACGATGGTCAATTGAAATGACAGACACTGAGCCAGGCTGAGGGAATTAGGACCAGGGATGTGGGTCCCCACAAATGCGTTCGTTCCTCTGTCCTTCATGGTGATCCCTCCCCCACCCCCAGGCACTTACTCCATAGACCAGCTCTCCCACCATGCCGTTCCAGGCCTTTGTGTCGGGGTCCCGGGCTCCGTATTTGCCATCACTGACAATCTCGAGTCGGTAGGAGTAGCCCACGTGCTTGGCGATCTCCGCAGCCAGCTCCACGCAGTAGCCCTCGTAGCGGTCGTTGCCCTCAAACTGGTTGGCATTCTTTTTGAGCATCACATAAGGATCTTCCTGGTGGAGAAACAGGACAGAGGGTGTGGCCTGTGGGTGCAACTGCGAGTGGGGAGGACTTTGAGCCGGCAGAGGAGGATGCTTCCAGTGTTGGTTAGCACTGATGCGTCTTTCTAACCCCTTAATATGTTTCCTAAGTTTCTGCTCCTTACTCAATTATAAACTTCTCAGAAAAAGAAAATAAGTTCTGTTAAAAATAAGAATTTTTTATCACAGAAATGTAACAGGGCTTTCCAAATTATGTTCTTTGTGTAATTTTTTAAAAAATTATTTTTATGTGTATGAGTGTTTTGCCTGCATGTATGTCTGTATACTACATGCATCATGTGTGCCTTGTGTCGGAGGAGGTCAGAAGAGGATGTTAGATCCCTTGGGGAATCGGACTCAGGTCTCCTCTGCAATGTATTTTTTAAAGATACCTCTAAATAGATTTTAGATTTTCACAAGTTATTGGACCATAGCAGCCTTCTGTGTCCTCTGTGTGTTAATCTGCTGGAGAATGTGGCTTCTACTGAAGGAGGCACATACAGAAACTCGAACAACTTAGGGACACCTTTGTGTTTCGTTTATGGGGCAAGTGGCTCAGAAAATCGGATGTAACTTATCAAAGGATGCTGGGTGAAAGTGGATCTTAGAGATGCTGAGGGAAAACAAGAATCAAGGCCTCTTCCCAGTCTCTGTGGTTTCATTATTATTACTACTACCATTGCTGTAACTATTGTCATTGTTGTCTTCTGAGACAGTCTCACTAGATAGCAGAGGCTGGCCTGGACCTCTTTCTCCTTCTTAGCTTCCTGAGTGCTGGGCTGACAAGCATGCAAGCATGGACGGCTGCTACTGACTAGTTTCACTGTCTTCTCCATCTATGGCATAGTCTTGGCAGCTAAAGTGGGGTGTGCTTGGGTATGTCTAGCCTGAGCTTCAGGTAAACCCGAAGAAGGAGTATACTCACGAGGATGGTGGTGACGATGTAGGTTCTATTCTGGACGCTGGAGTTGTCTCCTCCGGCCTGAGCATCGGTGGCTGCAGGAACAAACTTATCGTCTTCATTCCAGTATCCAATCTGTTAACGAGAAGAAGGCAAAGGCACAATCTGAGGGGGAATCTTGGAGCTGGGTGTGACGGCACACTGATCCGTGTACAAGAGTCTAGGCTGCTGCAGGCAGAAGCATCAAGAGGTAAGATGCACCCCAGGTCCTCTCTCTATCCCCAGCGGACCTCCTCATAGTGGTGACTAAGGCCAGGTATTGTCCCTCTGGGAGGACAAAAGTTCAGCTCTTTATTTATCTAAACTGTATAGGACAATGAAAGCGGGGGCTGAGGAATTGAATTCCCTGCAGGTGTTTTCACAGCCAATCCACATACATCCTTAAATATTAACTCTTTATTTCTGCAAACCTAGTCTAAACTGTAGTATGAGCCACTGGATTAAATACTACTCTCATTTTTAGAGTTCCTACATTTTCCTTTCCAGATTTCACTTCCTGGGGAAAATCCATTACCCTCCATTTCCTGCTGGTCTTCTGACTGTTGCAACACCAAGTCATGCTCAAGGTAAAAACACGATCTGTAAGGACTTGGAAAACTTTAAGAAACTTTGCTTGATCAGCAGCTGGTTAAGGCACTGGGTTCAAGAAACTTTGGAGCATCAAGAGTTAGCTGGAAACAGGAAACTTTGCAAAAGTCCTAACCAACTGTCCCTAGCAGCTAGTCCCCTGTAACACTCAGCTTTGTGGTCCGGTCAGGAGCAGAAAATAACTGCCTGGGGGGAGGGAGGGGGCATGCGCAGAAGCAGAAGTAGCTACTTAAAGGAAAAGAGTAAGCAGAAGGAGTCCATACCCTGTACTCAGCAAAACTAACCCCCTTGACCCTGAGTAAACCTGGCTTGTGGTTTTTGCTGGAGAGCGCGCTGAATAAACCTTGCTTTTGCATTCTGGGCTTAACTGGATTCCGATGGTGGTCTCTCTGGGGGTCTCAACTTGGGCACAACAGACCAATTTCTAAATGTCAGCAGGTTATTAATACTTTGTCCAAGGTCTTTCAGAAAAGTTATCGAATTCCAATTATGTGCAAGGCTCTGAGCTGAAACACTTTGTGGTATGCAACAGGTTGAGAGAGCTGGAGAGACGTTGAAGGGGGGGGGGTGCTTTCCCTAAGAACATCACTTGAGAAGACGCAGATCACACAGACTCACAGTCCAGAAGTGCTGAGTGAGTGAGCAGGTGATAGAGGACTTCAGAGAAGTGCAAGTCTGCAGTGGGATGCTGTGTGTGGAAGAGACGATGCCTGGGCTTGCCCAAGCCTCCCGGGTCAAGGAGGATGATAGCCCTGTTGTGGAGGCAGAAGGCTTCCGACATAGGCGAGTTCAGTGGGCTCACCTGGGAGAGCAGTGGGTGTGCAGGTCTAAGTAGCAGAGGATGTGAAGGCCAGGCCCAAGCAGTGGAGACTGTTCTAAAGGCAACAGGGAGTCATAGGAGGGTTGGGACAACAGAATGACCTAGCTAACATATGCACACACATATATGCACAGAACACACACAGATGTACACACACATGCACACATGTATGCACAGCACACAGCACTCACATGTGTGTACAGTATACACACAGACAAGTGTGTGCATACACACACATACACAAACACACATATAGACTGCCTGTACCTCTTTCTCCTGCTTCTCTTTTCTTCTTCACCTTCAATACACCTTCCTTCTCTCCCCTCTTCCTGTTCTTCCTTCCTCTTCCTCCCTTTCTTCCTCGTTTCCTGTTTCTTTTTTGCTTTCCCCTCTCTCTTCCTCTCCTCCTCCCTCTTTCTCCTCTCTGTCTTTCTTTCTCTTCCCCCTTTCCACCTCCTCCCTCTCTTTCTTCTCTTCCCTTCTCATCTCCATCCACTCTTTCCCCAGGCAGCTAGGTCTGTCATTCTGCAGGATGCAGATACAAATGGAAAATGATGGAGAGCTGGCAGTTCACATGCAGGAGGTGGAGAGCGAGCAGCCCTCTCAGCATCCAGAACACAGGGCAGAAACGGAGGCACCCTCCACAGGGCTGGTTTGTGTGGCCCTTCACCTTCATGTATTTTCCTGGACATCGATGGTTTCTTTATGATCTTCTGCCATTCACAATGGCAGCTGTACACAGGTTCTTGCTTTGGCTCAGTGAGTTTTCTACTCTCTCGTCTGTTCACCTCCTGAGGTGGTGCAGCTGGGCAGTGCCTGCTCTCGGCCTGGGACGCTGCCCATTCATCGATTGCCTGCAGCAGCTATTTTCACTGAGGGCTGGAATGAGTTCGCTGGTAGTGAATGCGTCTTGCTCTTCTAAATGCTTTTTATGTTTTAATCCCTTCTATTACCATTAAAATCCCATGACATTTGCCAGTTTTCACTCCCATATGAAGTGTGAGAATGCTGTGCTGTGGAGAGGTAAGTTCCCCAGGGCCGCAGGATAGCCATGGTGGTGCAAGCGCTGGAAGGCTTCCCCCATTGCATGGATTATAGATACATGCTTCTGAACCTGGCTCATTTTTCCCGTGGGTTCTGGGGATCAAATTCATGTTTTCACAGCAATCTCTCTGTTGATCAATCCATCTCCTCAGTCCTGAACAAGCTTATTTTTTTTCCCTAGCTAGTAGTCTCATGTGAAAAGAAGCCCTGATCTTGTCAGGGTTGGTTGAGACGTCTGGATGCGAAGGCTCACGTTCACACCTCCTGTGAGCCAGTAGACTTATATGAATGTCGGGCTCCACAGCTGGATGCATAGGAAGATGGCACAAGTGTCTGAAGAGGCTTTGGAGACGAGAGCTGTAGGCTGGATTACCATATGGTACTTTGATTCTCTACAGAGGAGGTGTAGGGGCTTTGATTCTACCTGAAAGCAAATCATTGTAAGTAGTTTGGTAAAGATTGGGGCGCACTGTTCAGGAGAGGATTTAAGAAAATTCTAACAGGGAGAAGTCTTCTCTTGAGGCCACTTATTTTTGATCTCCTATTTTCCATCTGCCTCTAAAGATGCTTTGAAGGTCGGAAATGAGTCCAGATGAGAGAGCGGGTATTCTTAAGTGGATGAAGTTTAAAGAGCAGGTGATCACAGAACTGCAGATTCACTTGATCTCCCCTGCAGTCATCAGGGTGAATTTGTACATGGGAACCCCAGGATCGCCTCTGAAGCCTCAGCTCCCAACTTTCCCCAATGAGGGTTGTCATAACTAGTTGCCTATTGTGGCAGAGATGGCTAGCTGACCCCCAAACAGTCTTGTTTGCCTTTCATAGTGTAGAGATAGCAGGAAGGGGATCTCCAACCAGAAGTGCACGCTGTTTTGCATTGCACTGGGAGGAACCCTTGTGTTCCCTTGTGCATGGAACGTTGGGAGGGTAATGTGCCTCTTTTCCAAACCAATCTTTCCCAAGTTCCCAGCAGTGTTTCCATTTTATTTTTTCCCCATCTGTTTGATAAATGCTGACAGCAAGCAAGACCCTAGTGAACAGTGATGTCTTCTTAACACCTAATTCTCAGCCGAGTCCTAGGGCCAAACTTCTTTGACTTTAACTCACCAGCCTCAACTTTTAAAACTTCTACCAAACTGAGTTTATCATAGCTGGCTATAATGTATGTTTCTTTGCTTCTAATGAAGCAGAACAGTTAAATAAACAATGACAAGAACTAGACATTTCTAAACAAGAGATTGATCTTCCCTGCACTAAAAAGGTAGGTTTTGGAGCTTTAGCTCCCACAACACTCAGCGTTAGTCAAGCTAGCACATCTAAAAGGTTGAAGTTAATATGCTTTTTGCAACTTTATCTCAGACTATGGCAAAGGGATGCCTGCTAGAAGGATACCAAAAGGAATGTGCAAGGAACAGAGCAGTATCTCCCACTCCCAAAGGCAAAGCAATAAGCCAGAGAAAAAGAGCAAGCGTTGATGTCTGGGGCTCTGTAGACTGAGGTCAGGAGATGTACTGCAGTTTTTGGAGGTAAGAAGCCAGTGAAAATTTCTAAGCAGTGTGATTTCGTTGTATATTTGAAACATGCTCCCCAGCTCTTAGGCTGGAAATGTGGTCTTTGTCCTGAGGTGGGATCACAAACAAACACCTAACAGGATCCATGGCAGTGAAAAAGCTGGTGGCCAGGGCAAGGAAGCTCACATGGATTCTGTGTTGATCAGTGAAGATGAGGAATGACTGTATTGAGGTCATTATCTTAGACTAAAAATAGTTTGTATGTGAAAAGTTGGATGTCAGGGACTTAAGACTTCAAGGAGGCAGGTAGAATTGAAAGCCATGAAGTCTGCAGGAATTAGAAAATAATAAAGATACTGGTAGGAATTCCGGTCACTGTGATTTTTCCCACCCAGTTATGGACAAGACCAGAACTGAGTACAAACCCAGGTTAGGGAAGGGAGGACTCAAATCAAGTTGAAAGGGGTAGATGTCAGGCGCCATTAGTAAGCCCTGAAATAGCTAGCCACATAATCAATAGGCAAAGGCGTTGTCTCTTCGCTGCTGGTCCCCTCATGTGGGACTCTGCAGCGGAATGCCCTGCAACCCCCTGTGGGTGGCCAGTAAGAGAATGTGTGATTCCATCCCAACATGGCAAGATGTTTCATTTAGAGAAGGATCCCTAAGCCCTCCCAGAAGTCATACATATAAATGGGACTTCACAGGACTAGACAACACTAGAGCCAGGGCCAAATCTGCTCTGTGAAGCTTCAAGCTTTTTGGAAGAAAGCCTAGCACCATAGCATCTCAGTGGGATGTCCAACCTCAGCAGGATTGCCTAGGGAGCAGGCTGGCCCTGAGTCAGTAAGAGACAGGTAGGATTGGAGTTTCCCAGAAGCCCTGAACCAGGAAGAGAGACACAGGGCAGGTAAGGCCTTGCAATGTCCCTGGAACTAGCCCAAGATCACTCTTGAAAGCCGTAGGTATTAATTTCCTTGGAGTCTGATTGAGTAGAAGTCCTGGAGGCAGGGATTCAGAGGGATTGATTTTCTGATAGGCAGATCCCTGTACACAAAGAACGTGTAAGACCACATTCTAAGAAAGGATTTAGTCATGAGAAAGTGAGTTTCAAAACAGCCCGGAGATCAGAAAACCAGGCACAGCCATTAGCTCGAGGATTTGAAGTCTGCCCATTTAGTTGTGTATGTTCCTGTGTGGTGCACACACAAGTGCTGTAAAATTTCTGTGGCAGACAGAGAGGAATTTGAAACACAAGCCAATGGGCGTGGGTGAATGACCCTGCCTGGGTCATTCACTCAAACTTTCCTCAAACTTGTGCTGTGGAAGGGTAGGCACAGTCTCATTCGATCCTTTGAAGTAAACTCCTCCTTTTCTCCCTCCATCCCTCCCCACTCTTTCCCCTTCCCCCTCTCTCCTCTCTCTTCTTCTAAGTCAGGGTGTCATGGCATAGATCAGACTACCCTTGAACTGACAGTGATCTTGTCTCAGTGTTCCAAGTCCCAGGATTACCAGCATCCCTCTCCTGCCTCAGAGATGATGTGACTGAGGTCAGGAAGGCTGAGTGACATGTTCAAGGTCACACGACCAGTGCAGAGTAAAATGT